GCAGGGCCGGCAAAGGAGGTTTGGGGCAGGGCCCTGAGCCCCGGGAACTACCTCTGTCCCAAACCCTCCATGGTTCCCCTCACTCTTGCACTTATAACCCAACTCCTGCCTAGCCTACAAACCCCCACGTGTCTGGCCCCTGACCACTTCTCTGATTTCACCTCCTCACATCACTCCCTCTCTCTCCCTCCCTCCCTGCAAGCTTACTCCTGCCTCAGGGCCTTCGCACCCGCTGTGCCCTCTGCCTGGGAAGCTCCTGATTGCCACCGCTTCCATCAGCGTTGCCAGACAATTATCACCTTCTCAGAGAGGGTTTCTCCACCTGAAGCATCACCCTTGCCTCCAACTTCCTGTCCAGCTTCTGCATCCTCATGGCACCTCTGGAACCGTAATTTCTAGTTTACAGACGGCTCGCTCCCAGGCTCCGCTTGTCTTGTTCCCCACTGCATCCTGAGTCCCTGCATACAGCAGGTGCTGCATAAATGCTTGCTGAGGGGCTCCATGCACCCTCTACCCCCAGTTCCGAGAGCTGGGATAGGAGAAAGGAGTCTGTGAATACTTTCTCATGCCTGTAAGGACAGGTCCTCAGATGAAGCCGGCCCCCAGCTGCGGGAGACTTTCATCAAGGAAGGAGACAGCGGGGCTTCCCTGGTGGTTCAGTAGTAAAGGATCCACCTGATAATGCAGGAGATTCAGGTTTGATCCCTCACCCTGGAAGATTCCCACATCCCGCGGGGCAACTAAGCTCATGCACCACCGCTGTTGAGCCCGTGCTATAGAGTTGGGGAGCCACAACTATTGAAGGCCTCACGCTGCAAAGCCTGTCCTGTGCAACAAGAGAAGCCAGAGCACCGCATCTAGAGAAGGCCCATGCAGCAACGAAGACCCAGCACGGCCAAAAATAAATGCATATTTAAAATTACTTTTAGGAAAGGAAGGATGCAGGGGACTTCTCTGGGTGGTCCAGTGGCTAAGACTGTGCTCCCAATGCAGTGGGCCTGGGTTCAGGTCAGGGAACTAGACCCCACACGTCGCAACTGAAAGATCCCACATGCGCAACTAAGACCTGGTGCAGCCAAATAAAATAAATATTTTAAAAGACTTTTTTTGCTTACAAAAAGCAGAACAAAAAAGGACGGAGACAGGAGAAGGAGAGAGGCTCAAAAGTGGGAGCCACACACACCCTGGAGCATCCCTCCCTTGGGGCGCCCCCTGGTGTACCATCCAGGCGACACCCTGCCGGCCGGCCGCCCTGGTGCAGGGACAGAGTGGTCGCACTCGTTGCCCGTGACCCTTGATAGCTTGGATGTGAGTCCGCTCCTGGAGCTGGGCTGGCAGAGGTCATGCCTGCTGTGCAGAGGCAGCCCCTTGCCTGTCCTGGGGCCTGAGCTCTGACTCCAATCCTGCAGAGACCTGGGGGTCCACGACCCCCAGCCCCCCTTGCCAAGGCATCCTGGACTTTCTCCTCTGGGCCTGAGAGCAACAGGTCAGGAAACCGTCCAAGCCTACCTCGCTAGGACACCACATACCTGTCCAGGACACGTGTGCACAGACAGACAGACAGACACACACACAATCGGCCCAGATCAAGATGGAGATGCATGCAAAGTCTGAGAGATGCTCTGGAGATGGTGACAGGTGGTGACAGAGACAGCGAGACAAGCCAGAAGCACAGAGTGGGGGGCATCATCAGAGACACCAAGAAGAGAGAGGTGCAGACCCGGGGCGGGGCAGGAGAGCTGGGTGCAGAGGAGGAGAGAGCAGGGGTGACACAGAGACAGCCCTGGAGTCAGGGAGACTCACAGACAGACAGCGAGAGGGCCGGGGCAGAGCGCAGGAGGCCCATGATGCCCCCAGGTGGACACCCGACGCCCAGGCCCCCACGCTGCATCCACGCTGACCTGTCCCTGACAGGCGTGGCACACAGGTGGCACCGGGGGTGGGAGAGACAGCCCTCAACACCCTGGAGCTGCGGCTGGCGTGGGAGTTACGGGGCATCTGGGTGACCCTCTGCCACTGGCCTCACTGGTTGCAGCTCACAACACGCTGCCAAGGGGACTGGACCTCCGGCAACGTCGCTGGCTGCCTGCTGCTGGCACGGGTCGCCTGCCCCATGCAGGCCACCATGCCAGGGTCCAGCCTCAGCAGGATCCAGGGGTACCCTCAGGATGAACGGCGTTGGTGAGAGAGAGAGAGAGAGAGAGACCAGATGGGTATGCAGCAGGGCCTGGTGGTGTTTTATTTTTCACCATAGCTCTTATACCCTGAGTTAGTACATTTCTAAGGGAAGATAAGCACACAGAGTTAGTTTAACATTACATCAGCTTGTCCTTCACGAAACCAGAGTGTTTTCTGCATACTTCTTTGTTAATGAGAGACTTGTACATTATCTTCTGGCCTTGGGGCCTATTGACATTTTAGGACCTAGGTGAATGCAAAGCTGTTTTCTGTAATCTATTCTTTATTGTTCCATTTTGCCTTGAGAAAACCGAAAAGAAAACAGAAAACAGGAAAGTTGCACTCTCATGGTACAGCAGGTTGCAACATAGTAGAAATACAATCCTGTTGACACAAAGGTCAGTCCTTTTACAGAAGTTATCAGTTAAATTTATCTAAAAGGTTTACCACACAAAGACTCTGCAGCTCTGGTGAGGCAGTCCCTGTTTAGCATTCCTGGTTAACAATTTTAACTCTTATTTTTCTAAATCTCTAACTATATTAACAATAGTTTCCACTGCACAACCTCAGCACATTAAGAGCAAAAACACAGCAAACATTGATCCAATAACCACTTTTAGAATAATATTTTTGTGTTCTCTAATAGGGCTTCCTCACCCCCGAAGGGCTCTGTACCTATGAGGGCCTTTTGTGTGATCAGGTTCTTTATGCTGTTTATGATTAAGGTGTTGTGAGCAGTCGTGTGCATTAGTACGCATTTGCCAAGCAGGCTAGAATGCCAGAAAAGGGGTCTAAATTGAAACACTCCTTTCATCCTGGATAATCTTACAGGATACCACCGTCCGGGGGACATATTGATCAAAGTTCTAAGTTGATTCTGTTTGGAAAGAGATCGGGGGACTTCTGCCTGTGTCACAGAAATTAGGGAGTAGTCTAATATAGCAAGCATCAGAAAGACAGAGATCATCTTTAAGGTGAGCGCCGGGGCAGCTTTTCGAAATCCCTGAGGTCCTGATCTACCTTGCTTGTCAGGTCTTCTCCTCCTGACCTTGTCATGGGTGGGATCTTGTGTGCTGGCTCCAGCACCGCCACATTCAGTGCCCGCTGCTACCGTGCTGCGGCTGGCCTGGTGCCCCCTCTGAACCCTGTGCCCGGCCGGGCTTTGGCCACTGCCCACTGGGTTTTCACCAGGGGCATGGCTGGATGGTGAATGCCCCCAGGAAGCAAAGGCCTGGGTTCCAGCATTGTTGTTGCTTAGTCGCTAAGTCGCGTCCAACTCTTTGTGACCGCGTGGACTGTAGCCCGCCAGGCTCCTCGGTCTGGTCCACGGAATTTCCGAATTCAAGTTCAAACCCCAGCCTTGCCACTCAGTCGCTGTGGGAGTTTGGGGGATTTCTCCCTGGGCCACCTTCTCATCCCCATTTTACCAGTGAGGTAACAATGTGACCGCTGGACCATAAAGAAGGCTGAGTGCCAAAGAATTGATGCTTTCCCACTGTGGTGCTGGAGAAGACTCTTGAGAGTCTCCTGGCCTGCAAGGAGATCCAACCAGACAGAGGAGCCTGGCGGGCTACAGTCCACGCGGTCACAAAGAGTGGGGCACGACTTAGCGACTAAACAACAACAATGCCCGAATCCAGGCCTTTGCTTCCGGGGCCCGTTCACCATCCAGCCATGCCCCAGTCAACCCTAAAGGAAATCAGCCCTGAATATCCCTTGGGAGGACTGATGCTGAAGCTGAAGCTCCAATACTTTATGCTATATCCCATCTGGTAGCTCTCATTTCCAAAGGACTGCTATGCTAAGAATTCCCCAGCGGCTCCATCCTCTCACTGCCAGTATCTGGGATCAGTCTCTGCTCTGGGAACTCAGATCCCTCAAGTCTCTCTGCCAAAAAAAAATAAAGACTTCTATAATATATACTCTCTTCTCGAGCCGTTTTATAGTGGTTTATAATTTGTTGCTGATAATATTATCTGGGAATCATTCGGGGGAAATTTATAATGGATGACTTAGAAATAACGTACTTTAGTATTTAACGACCGTGAGAGCTTTGTCTTAAAGGTTTGTTTGTTTCTGTTTGGCTGCGCCGGGTCTTGGCTGCTTCCTCTGGCGGCGGCGAGCGGGAGCTGCTCTCCAGTCGCGGCGCGGCTGGCTTCTCACTGCACTGGCTCCTCTTCCGGCAGCGCCCGGCGCTGGGTGTGCGGCCGCTATAGTCGCTGCACGTGGGCTCAGCCGTTGCGGCTCCCGGGCTCCAGAGCGCAGGCTCAGTAGTTGCGATGTGCTGGCCCAGTTGCTCGGCGGCATGTGGGATCTTCCCGGACCCGGGATCGAACCTGCGTCCCCTGCGTTGGCAGGCAGACTCCTCACCGCTGACTCATAAGGGAAGCCCTGTGAGCGCTTTCAGAAAGGGCTTAGTTTCCCTCCTGAGAGCTTTCTCCCCGACACGCGTTAGATCCCAGCTCAGTTGCCGTGACTGGGTGCACGTGTGCCCTGACCTGTTTCTCCTTCAGGAAACAGGGACAGGCCTGCCTTCCTGTGCGTGCCTGGGGGCAGGGGGCCTCGCCAAGGGGCAGCGTGTCAGGCACTGGGGACCCCAGGGGCTCCTCCTCACCTTTCTGTGTCTGTCTGTCTCCCTGCCTGTGCGCCGGAGCACGCCCCGCACCCCGCCTCCGCCCCGGGGCTCGGCCTCAGCGGCTGCAACAACTAACCCAGCTGCCAGGGCCTCCAGGGGAGCTTGGGAGGAGCCATCACTGGGGCCAAGTCTCTCCCTCTGTGGCCTAAAGCTGCCGACGTCCTAACCTGCGTCTTTGTCTTCCGTAGTGAGCGGCACTTGGCGGGCGAGGCGGAGTTAAGGATGCGAAGAGCGGGAGGTTATCGGGGTAACCTGGTGAGTCCCTATGATGGGGGACAGGAGGGGCGGGGTCAGAAGGAGCTGGGGCTGCGGAGGCAGAGGTCGGAGGAGGACTCCCTCAGGACACGGAGGAAGGAGCCACAAGCCAAGGCCTCTGGGCGACCTCAAGAAGCCGGGAAAGGCAGGAGCAGACCCTCCAGAAGCAATGCCCTGACCTCAGCTCAGGGGAGCCAGGGTGATCCTGACCCATGTGGTGTGAAGCCAGGAGCTTTGCGGCCACTTGTTGGGGCATCCACGGGGCTCCTGTATCTCCCAACACAAACCCCCCCACCAGGTCTTCTGAAATGCGGAGACCACCCCCCAAGGTCGGAGGAGGACTCCCTCAGGACACGGAGGAAGGAGCCACAAGCCAAGGCCTCTGGACGACCTCAAGAAGCCGGGAAAGGCAGGAGCAGACCCTCCAGAAGCAATGCCCTGACCTCAGCTCAGGGGAGCCAGGGTGATCCTGACCCACGTGGTGTGAAGCCAGGCGCTTTGCGGCCACTTGTTGGGGCATCCACGGGGCTCCTGTATCTCCCAACACAAACCCCCCCACCAGGTCTTCTGAAATGCGGAGACCACCCCACACACACACCAGCCAAGGCCCCAGGAGGCAGCCGTTCTTCCCTACCTGGTCCAGGGCCAGCTACCCAGTCCCTCAGTGGCCTGGGTCTCCGCTTCCCCTCCCGGCCCAGTCTGCCTGGCATGCACGTCACCCACCTGAGCAGCCAGGCCCAGCCCACAGGCGGCCCCTGCCCCTCTCCCCTGCTCACTGGGAAGCTGAGGTGGGAAAGGCTGGGTTTGGGAGTCAGCCCGCCCCCCGCACAGCCTGGGCACAGCAGGCGCTCTGAGGCCTGGAGCAGAGGGGGCAGGAAGGCAGGAGAGGTGGCCTGGCGGGGGCTGGGCAGACGCGGAGTGTCCGCCCCGCAGCTGGAGGCTCTCAGCCCGCCTCCCGGGGCACTGCCCATTCCCTCAGGGAGCCGGGCACCCAAGCCTCCCAGCACCCCCTCCCCTGGGCGCAATTACGGGTCCTCCAGGCTAATCGCTGGGGTTGACTCACTCCTGGCCCCGCTTCCCTAATGAGGCCTTTGTCCCCTTAATTGGCCATCTCCAGGCGCTTTTCTCCGCGCCCCCCACCTACGCTGCCTGTCCCAGATCTCAGGCCCAACTATGTGCTAATTGGGCCTTTGGGGGGGCACACAACATGACCCCTCCCCTCTCTGTCCCCTGGCCTGCCTATATCAGAACCCCACCTATGGGCTGCTCACACCTCGGGGCCGGGGTGAGGGCACAGGACGGTTTCGATTCCCCAGGCCCTGCCCCGCCAACCAGGGTCGTGCCCCTCCCTGTGGGTCCCCCACCCCCGTCTCTCTTCCCGTGCCCCTCCCTGGCCCTGGGCCCCCTCACAGATTTGTGGGGGTGGCTGCTTTCTGATCAGCATTGTGGGGAGCCGCTCCATCACCCCAGCCATGCACCCTGGGGCTCCCGCAGGCCCTGGAATCTCTGAGTCAGGCCCCCGGGAGCTGTGCGCCTTTGTGAGCGGGGCGGCTGCCCACGTGCTGCGTGCCCTACACCCACGGCGGGCCAGGCCCCCCAAAAGGAGACCCAACCACAGGCGGTTCCTACACAACCAGATCTGCAGGTGAGCGAAGTGGTTAAGCCTCCGTGCTTCCACTCAGGAGGCATGGGTTCAATCCCTGGTCTGGGAACTAAGACCCTGCATGCCGTGGGCATGGCCAGAAAAGCTCTCTGCTTCATGGAGTCTGTGTTCCAGTGGGGAGGCAGCTGATAAGGGACTGTCAAAATAAAGAAGCGGGGCCTTCCCCGGTGGTCCAGGGCTTAAGCCTTCGCCTTCCAATGCAAGGGGTGCAGGTTCAGCCCCTGGGCAGGGAGTTAAGATCCCACACAGCGTGAAAGTGAAAGTGTTAGTTGCCCAGTCACGTCCCACTCTGTGTTGCCCCATGCACTGCACCCCGCCAGGCTCCTCTGTCTATGGGATTCTCCAGGCAAGGATACTGGGGTGGGTAGCCTTTTCCTTCTCCAGGAGATCTTCTCGACCCAGGGACCAAACCCAGGTCTCCCTCATTGCAGGCGGATTCCTTACCAGCTGAGCAGGAGGCCCAAGATCCCACATACCTTGTGACCAAAAAAAATAAAAAAACCAAAACATAAAACAGAAGCAATATTTAACAAACTCAATAAAGACTTTAAAAAAATAAAGAAGTGAATGACATCATATGAGGCTCCAACATGACAGGATGGTGAGTGAAAGGAACCAGACACGAAAGGTCCCCTACAGTGTGAGTCCATTGCTGTGAAGTATCCAGAACGGGCACAGCCACAGAGCAGGAAGCAGGTTGGCGGGTGCCAGGGGCTGGGGGCTGGGCTGGGGAGACATGCCTAACAGGTGCCAGGTCTCCTGGGATGTAATGGAAAGTTCTGGAACTAATTAGAGGGGGTGTTTGCATGACATCATGAGTGTACTGAAGGCCACTGAATTGCACGCTTTAAAATGGTTCCTTTTAAATACTGTGAATTTTACCTCAATTTTTACAAAGGATACAGCGTGTTCGAAGGTGGTGAGTCTGTGAGGGCGTGCTGGGGGCGGGGTGGCATTTTAGGAAAGGTGTCCAGGAGGGCCTTCCTGGGGAGGGGAGGGAGGAGCCCTGCGGAGATGAGGAGGGCAGCCCGGGAAGGGAGCGTACTGCAAAGGCCCAGAGGCACCAGGGAGCAGGCCTGGGGAGGCTGGAGCAGAGTGCAAGGGGAGGGACTCAGGTTCAAGACAGACAGGGGACTGATCGGGGGACCTTGTGGGCCTCAGAGGGACTTGGGCTCTGGGTAGGGAGGTGGGGGGGTCTGAAAGGACCCCTCGGACTGTCGATCAGGGACGCAGGAGGCTAGGGATGGTGGTGGCTCAGACGACGGAGGCAGGGTCCAACTCCGGGGCTGTTTGAAGGCAGCGCCTTTCTAACCCACACACCACGCACGCTTGGCCTTTCTTCTGCTTGAGCACCCCTCCCGTGGCTCCCATGGCCCTCAGTGCAGAGACTCTGCCCCGCCAGCCCCTGTTCCCCTGCCAGCCTCAGCTCCCCACCTAGCTCTGCACCATTCAGCCTCTTGCGGGGGCCATGCCTTGCCCTGTCTCTGGGCATGTGGATGGAGACCTCTGTTCCTCCGGCTCTCGCCCAGCCTGTCCATGCCCACACACCCGCCCAGCCCTGTGCTCGCCCCTCACCCTGTGACAGTGACCATTTTTTGAGGTTGCTGTGTGCCAAGTACACTGTCTTAAGGCCCTGACATACGCTAGGTCGCTTAACATTCCCACAAACCTGAACTGTAGGTTCTGTCTTTTCCCTATATTACTGATGAGAGCTCAGAGAGGTGCAATGACTTGTCCAAGGCTACACAGCTAGAGAGGTGAGACAACTATAGGCAGTCTGAGTCCATGCTGTGGACCACTCTGTAGTCCTGCCTGGATATAGCATCTCTGGGACTGGGTGGTGAGGGTGAGGGTGATGGTGGTGATGGTGATGAGGGTGAAGATGATGGTGATAATGATGAAGGTGACGGTGAGGATGATGGTAGTGACTGTGATGATGGTGATGGTGGTGAGGATGGTGGTGATGGTGGTGATGGTGATGGTAGTGATGGTGAGGGTGGTGGTGATGTTGAGGGTGATGATGGTGATGGTGATGGTAGTGGTGGTGAGGGTGGTGGTGGCGGTGAGGGTGGTGGTGGTGATGGTGATGGTGGTGATGGTGAGGGTGGTGATGGTGAGGGTGATGGTGGTGGTGGTGAGGGTGAGGATGATGGTGATGGTAGTGATGGTGATGGTGGTGATGGTGAGGGTGATGGTGAGGTTGATGGTGGTAGTGATGGTGAGGGTGGTGATGATAGTGATGGTGGTGATGGTGATGGTAGTGGTGGTGGTGGTGGTGGTGATGGTGGTGGTGGTGAGGGTGAGGGTGATGGTGATGATGGTGAGGGTGGTGGTGGTGAGGGTGATGGTGAGGGTGAGGGTGATGATGGTGAGGGTGATGGTGGTGATGAGGGTGATGGTGGTGATGGTAGTGGTGGTGAGGGTGGTGGTGGTGGTGAGGGTGATGGTGGTGATGAGGGTGATGGTGATGATGGTGAGGGTGATGGTGGTGATGAGGGTGATGGTGGTGATGGTAGTGGTGGTGAGGGTGGTGGTGGTGGTGAGGGTAGTGGTGGTGATGTTGAGGGTGATGATGAGGGTGATGGTGGTGATGGTGAGGGTGATGGTGATGGTGGTGATGAGGGTGATGGTGATGATGGTGAGGGTGATGGTGATGGTGGTGATGAGGGTGATGGTGGTAATGGTGATGGTAGTGGTGTTGAGGGTGGTAGTGGTGGTGAGGGTGGTGGTGGTGATGGTGATGGTAGTGGTGGTGAGGGTGGTGGTGGTGGTGAGGGTGGTGGTGGTGATGTTGAGGGTGATGGTGAGGGTGAGGGTGATGATGGTGAGGGTGATGGTGGTGATAAGGGTGATGGTGGTGATGGTAGTGGTGGTGAGGGTGGTGGTGGTGGTGAGGGTAGTGGTGGTGATGTTGAGGGTGATGATGAGGGTGATGGTGGTGATGGTGAGGGTGATGGTGATGGTGGTGATGAGGGTGATGGTGATGATGGTGAGGGTGATGGTGATGGTGGTGATGAGGGTGATGGTGGTAATGGTGATGGTAGTGGTGTTGAGGGTGGTAGTGGTGGTGAGGGTGGTGGTGGTGATGGTGATGGTAGTGGTGGTGAGGGTGGTGGTGGTGGTAATGGTGAGGTTGATGGTGGTGGTGAGGGTGAGGGTGGTGATGAGGGTGATGGTGCTGAGGCTGAGGGGATGGTAAGGATGATGGCGGTGGCGACGGAGCTATTGGACACTTCCCACGTGCCGGGCACTGTTCTGAGTACTTTAGTTTTAGCCCCCGATGTCCCTTACAGTGAGCATGAGCTCAGGAACTGCTGACAGCAGCCCCAGGAGGCGGGTGCTGTCACAGTCCTCCTTTTCAGATGAGGAAACTGAGGCACAGAGTGGTGAAGTGACTTGCCCAAGCTCCTGTTTTTCTGGAGGGGGGGTGACTGCGGGGACTTGCCCCAGGAGAGCCTGGACCACACATGAGTGAGTGGGAGCCGCCCCACCTGACCGCTGCTCCCCTGCCGCAAGTGGCCTTCCTCCAGGGAGCCCAGGATGGAAGACACACGTGGCCCCAAACACGGGCCTGCCCCATGTTCCAGAGCCAGCCTCCTCACCGACTGCTCAAGGACCCCACCCCACCTTCAGCCTGCCCCCCAGTCTGGACCCCAGCAATGACACCGGTTTCTGCGGCTCCCTGCCTGTCCTCCCCGCCCCCGAGGGCCAGCCTCCGGTGGCACAGACCTCCCCACCCCCACGGTGGTTCTGCCCCAGGCTCCCCGAGGCCCTGGCCACCCACAGTGAGCACATCCCCCTGGGCACGCAGGCGCAACCGACAAGATCCAGGACGCAGGCGAGCTCACCTCGCGCCTCCCCACCCATGCCCTCCTCCTCTCTCCGGGTCCCCTCAGGCCCTGCTCCCCCGGGAACCCACCCACACTAGAGATTGTTTAACTCTGTGTGAAAATTTTTCAAACCTGCAGAAAAGTCAAAAGACAGCTGTCTGATGCAGCAGTTCTTTTACTGAAACTTTATTTGGCAGCTCTGGGTCTCAGTTGCGGCCTGTGGCAAGGCCCTTCAGGGATCTAGCTCCCCAACCAGGGATGGAACCCGCGGCCCCTGCTTTGGAAGCACGGTGTGTCTTAGCCACTGGACCACTGGGGAAGTCCCAGCAGATACATTTTCTAAAATTAATTAATTAACTTTTGTTTATCTTCGCAGCTGTGTGGGTTTCTCTCTAGTTGTGGCGAGCAGGGGCTCCTCTCTGGGTGCGTGCCTGGGCTTCTCGTTGCTGTGGCTTCTCTCCTTGGGGAGCACGGGCTTCTGCCATAGGCTCAAGGTGTAGTGCTCGGGCTTAGTTTATCCAGGGCATGCGGGGTCTTCCCTGATCAGTAATCGAGCCTGCCGTCTTAGTCACTGAACCACCAGGGAAGTTCCAACAGATACATTTTTTACATAAACCTTTCCTTGGAGGTTTAACATAGTAGAAAAAAAAAATGCACACATCATCTGTGTGGAGCTTAATGAATTTTTCCTAAAGGGGACCCGCTGATAAAATCAACATTCAGATCCAGGAACAGGGCATTTCTTGCCTCCAGAGATCCTGGTGGGATCTCCTTCCCGTGAGTCACCATCCTGACGCCTCTCCCTGTTGATCGAGTTAGCCTGGTTTTGAACTTCTATTTCTATGGTGTCACGCACCCACTAAGTCTCACTGCTTTTGTTCAAAATCATGTTTTTGCATTCATCTGCTGGAACATCCACGATCAAACACGACAGACTGGGCAGGGCTCCTGATTCTGGAGCCCGAGGCCCCAGACCGAGGTGCTCGCGGGGAGAGGCCTCCTCCTTGCTTCTCCTGTGGTCATCCCTCTGTGCGTCCTAATCTCCTCCTCCTGGGTTAGGAGCCACTCTGATGATGTCATTTTAACTTAATCACCTCTCTAAAGACTCAATCTCCAAGTGCAGTCACGTGTTGAGGCCCTGGGTCTTCCCTGGTGGCTCAGGGGTAAAGACTCTCCCTGTGATGCAGGCGACCTGGGTTCAATCCCTGGGTCGGGAAGATTTCCCCTGGAGAAGGAAATAACAACCCACTGTAGTATCTTGCCTGGAGAATCCCATGGACAGAGGAGCCTGGCAGGCTACGGTCCCTGGGGTCGCAGAGTCAGACACAATTGAGCCACTTTTCACTTTCTTAGGTGCTGGGGGTTAAAACTTCAACATATCCATTTTAGGGGGACACAGTGCAGTGCAAGACCCACCTGCATTGCTACTGAGGGGGTAGGAATACTGGGGGGAGACCCATGCAGTGACTACTGCAGTCATCCAGGTGAGGAGGCTGGGGACTCCAGCCAGGGGTTGGTGGAGATTCTGAGAGGGTTGGTGGAGATGCAGATTCATAGCCCTTGAGGAAGCAGAATCCACATGGCTTCAATGTTAGAGTGGCGCTGCCAGTCCACAGAGTGCCTTTGTGCAAAAAAAAAAAAAAAAATTTGTAAAGGCACGCCTTAAGGCATTTTTTACTTCTACATGTTGGAATATGGTCAGAATAAATCTAAATGCCAAACATATTGGGATTTCCTGGTGACTCATGGGTAAAGAATCCTGCAAATGCAGAAGACATGGGTTCCATCCCTGGTCTAGAAAGATCACACAGGCCTCGGGACAACTAAGCCCACGCACCACACTATTGAGCCTGCGCTCCAGAGCCCGGGAGCCAGGACAACTGAGCCTCACGCTGCAGCTACTGAGGCCCTTGCACCCTGGAACCTGTGCTCTGCAACCAGAGAAGCCACCGCGATGAGAAGCCGGCGCTCCTCAACTAGAGAGGAGCCCTTGTTTGCCTCAAGGAAGGAAGGCCCCACAGCTGTTCATAGCTTCCCTGTGGATGGGGTTGGAAGTGAAACAAAGGGTTAGTTAATCAGTCCTGTCCAACTCTGCGACCCTATGGACTGTAGCCCACCAGGCTCCTCTGTCCATGGGGATTCTTCAGGCGAGAATACTGGAGTGGGTTGCCATTTTCTTCTTCAGGGAAACCACCCAGGGATTGAACCTGTGTCTCCTACATTGCACGCAGATTCTTTACCATCTGAGCCACCAGGGAAGCCCATGAATGGGGTTAGAGACACTGAACTGTGGGACTCAAGCAAATGGACCCGGGGCAGAGACAGTAGCATAAAGACAAATGGGGAGGGAGAGAAGAGACACGTCACTACTGGGATGGCAGACGGGAGGGGATTTCACCGTGGTCACCCCTGTAACGCCCAACTCTTTCTGCAGGCAGTTTGCCAAGATCGAAGCTGCCACCCAGCGCCTGGCCATGTCCATCCTGTCCCAGGAGGCGCCTCCCCAGAGACCGCCGCCCCAGAGGCCACCCCCACCACCTGCGTCCCCCTTCCTGGGCGTGGCCTGTGCCGTGGCGCCCACCGAGGCACCCCGTGCTGGCCCCAGCCTGAGTCTCGCTGCCCTGGATGCCTCCACCCTCGACCTCTTTGAGGATATTGCACTCCCCCCGCCGTGTCCTTCGGCACCATCTGACCTGTCCCTTTGTGCGCTGGGCCAGCCGGCCCTGAGGCAGGACACACGGCTCTATGACCCCCTGCTCCCTCCCCCGCGTTCCCTGGGGGGAGGGGAGCAGCTCTTGGCTTCTGAGGGTCGCTGGGGGGGCAGGTGGGAGGTGTCTTGTGCCTGCCCTTCTCAGGGGACCCCCGAAGGCTGGGGGACCTGCTTCCCGTGACACCCAATCACAACTCAGCCCAGGCTCCCAGACAGACCAGAGCCCCTGCCATGACAGCTCCTCAGCTGCCTGCTGGGCAGTCCCTTGTCCCATCCACGCCCGTCCTGGCAACCTCTGGCCACAGGAATCCCCCCAGACTCCCGCCTCGGCCTCAAGAGCCTTCTCCCAAGTCCAGGACCCCCAGTTCGGCCTCTGGAGTGGGGCAGGGGGTGCTCTCTCCCTCCTCACCTTCTCCCTTCTTTCTGCCCAGCCCCACCTCCTTGGTGACTGTCTCTCCGGCTCCCCCTCACCCTGGTTCAGCTCTTTCTAACGTCTGGTCTCCTCTTGTTTATTCCCAAAGATTTGTGGAGTGCCTACTGCATTCCAGGCCCAGATCTGGGTGTGGAGGACTCAGCAGTGAATAAAACAGACATCTCTGCCCTCGTGGAGTTCACATGGCAGGATGTGGGGTAAAGTTGGGGTGGCTGAAAATAAATGAGTACATTCATACTTTTTTTTTTTAAGGCAAGATAAATTTCCAATTTCAGATTGGTATTAGTGCTGGGAAGAAAATATCCATAGCATAGCGACCCAATCCGGTGACTCCTTGATATAGGGTGGTCAGGGAAGGCCTTCAATGACAAGGAGCTGGTACTGTGAAAAAGTCTGGGGTTTCAGGCAGAGGGACCAGCCGGTGCAAAGGCCCTGAGGTGGGACGTTGGGGGCCAGCCTGGCTGGAGCGGAGTGAGCCGGAGGAGAGTGGTAAGACTGGGGGGCGGTCGAGGGGCCGAAAAGGCAGACCGTGATTTGGGAGTAGTTTGGCTTTTTTTCCAGAAGTAATGGAAAATTCTCTCTCCACCGCTTTCTCGCAAGCCCACTTCCAAGCACCGTCTAAACATTAGGACACCACCCGAGCACGCAGGTGCTGTGAGAGGGAAAACTGAGGCTCCAAGAGAACAGACTAAAGAGCGCGGAGAGGGAGGGACTTCTTGGCTTGTCGCGCCCTCAGACCTTTCCTGGAAAGTGCGTGGGTCTCCCTGTAAGCTTCAGTCTCTAGCTAGAAGGGCCAGGTTAGGACCCAAGTCCTGCCCCTGCGCCGCGCACCCCCCGCCCTTCGCCGCTGTCGTTAGAACTTGACAGCCCGGCTGCTCGCGACCCACCAACCTCTGGGGCTGCAGTCTCAAGTTCTCTGTACCCTTTAGACTCACCAGCACGCCGTTCGCGACTCCCCATTGGCCCGACGCTCTGCCTTTCTCCAGGGCGGGCCAATCACGCTCTCAAGACGGACAGCCTGGCTCACCGCCCCCTTCCCCGGGGAGTGGGGGAAGAAGCGGCGCTCATGGATTGGCTGCCAGCGGGGGAGCAGAGCTAGGCGAGTGCCTATTGGGCGGATCGGCTCGGGAGGCGGGACGCGGAGGGCGCGGGGTGGGGCTCGGTGTCCAGAAGGTGAGAAACGTTGACCCGGCCTGCGGACGCCGCCGGTGGAGCTGAGCTGCGAGTCCGACGGCAGCGGGTGAGTGACTGCAGGCCTCACTTGCGGAGGGCAGGCCCGGCTCCCTCCGGCGCCCTCCGGGTAAGGCCCCGCCGGCGCTTCGGTGGGACCGACCTCCCCGCCTGCCGCTGGGGAGACCGTCTCTGCGGGGCCATCCGGGGCCGAGGGGACGCGGCCGGGGCAGGACTCCTGCCCGCGCCCGACACAAGTGGCCAGGGCCGATTCCACCCTCCGCGCCGAGTGCCTGCATCACTCCTGCTCGGCGGGTGTTTCCCCAGGAAGGAAACAGGCGTGAAGCTTGAGGGTCACACAGCCAGCGAGGCTGGGCTGCGGACGCACGCCCCCCGGGCCACCTGGGGGGGGTCTCAACAGACCGATTCGCTCCGCAGGTGGCCGCCCGTCGTGGGCGGCTCCTCCGCCCGGCCTCGGGCTTCCTCTGCCTCGAGCTGCATTCTGGATCCTCACCACTCCCCTAGAGCACCACCAAACTCCTGTCTCCAGCCCCGGCCCCGCCCCAACGTGTTTCATCTCCTCTGCCTCAATCAGGTGGGCTCGCCAAGGAGTTGGCCCACCCTCTGCCGACTGGAAACCAGGCCCGCCTGCCCCCTCCTCTCCCTCCCGCTACCTGGACTGGACCTTGCCCTCCCGGCCTCCACCTCCAGTCCAGCCCCACAGGCGGCCAGCGAGGCCTCCCTGTTTTCTATTTTCAAAACTTTCTTGTGGAAGTTTATTACATGTGTAGGGAAAAGTACAAATCACAGATACACAGCTCACATAACTTCACAAAGAGTGTGTGAACAGCATACAAACGCAGAAACCAAACAACCCCCACACAAGGTCCCAGCCCCTCCTTCATTACTGCTGCCCAAGGACAACCATTATCATGACTTTAATGCCACAGATGGGTTTGGCTAGGTTCTTGCCTTATGTAAATGTTTTACTATATTGTATTCACTGTATTGTAGTTTACTGTATTGTGTTTACCTGACTGGACAACCTGTTTACACACTGTCAAAATTTAAGAGCAACAGAGCCATACACATAGTGGTCAAACATCCTTCACACTCTGCTCCTCAGAGACCTGTCACTGCAGAAAAAGCCTGTTCTTACCTGCTCGTCAGAGAGCAAATACAGATTGCAGCAGTATGCAAGCTTTTTTTTTTCCTTCTTGCATTTTGGCACAAATGGGAGCATTGTTTACACACACTGATCCGTCCATCCGTCTGTCCCCACCCCCCACCCGCTTAACATCTCTCAGACACTTCTCCACGTGGTTACTTAAACATCTTCTTTGTGATTACCAGTGCCCTAACCGTGGATGTTTGGGTTTATTTCTGTTCTTTTGCTCAGGGAGGGGTCTCATAGTGAATAACCCTGTCCCTTAATGAATAACTTGTGTTATTGCACAGACACGTCTGCAGGATAAGCACTTAGGCTAAACACTTAGCATGAGTTCTCTGGGTCACAGGGTTTGTGAATCTGTGATTTTGAGAACTGGGGGCACATGGTTCTCCCTAGGGGGTGCTTGCTGCCATTTACACTCCTACCAGCCCAAAGGGGAGCTCCTGCAGAAGCCTGGCACAGGCTTTCTGACATTCCAGTGCTCCGCCCGCTCCTGACCGCATCCCTCCATCTGTTGGGGGAGTTACCAGCCGGAACCAGAGTGAGGAGAGCGCTCCAGGTGGAGGCAGCTGCCTGGGCCAAGGCCCTGAAGGGGGATGTGGCAGTCTGGCACCTTGTGGGAGGAGGGTACCCTTTAGTCTTGAGGACAGAGAAAACCCAGGAGGCCTGGAGAGCTGAGGTGGGGTGACGGGGCCAGCTCTGTGTTTTCAGAAAGATTGCTCGCTCTCCACTTTCTCCGGGAGAACTCTGCCAAGACAGAGTAGCTTCCCCAGAAATCCTCACCCTGGCCACAGCTGTGATTACACAATGAAGTAACACAGTGTGGTTTCATTTTTGAGGGAGTTTCCCTTCCATTTGTATTTCAAGACAAAATTCCCACAGCATAAAATCCACCATTTTAGCCATCCACTAAGTTTTAAACTTTAGATATTCCACATGTAGGAAACATTTTCAGTGGTAGATGTGCTCAATTTAAAGAATAACCAAAAACAGCTGTGGGACTCCCCACCTGACACTGAGACTTGCCCTGAGTGAGGGTCGGCCCCGGCTTGCCCTCCACTGGGTGCACGGGCGCAGGGCCTTCGTTTCCTAAATAAACTAACAAATAAGTGAATGACATGCAGAGATGGGGGGAGCTGCAGACACAAGCCAGGACTCCCCATTTGTGCAGCAGTTCGGGGAACCAGAGACACAAGTCTCTGGGAACATGGGCTGGGACCGTGAGACTCAGGGTGTCCAGGGCCCTGATGGGGAGAGGGGGCAGTCACCCTCTAGTCCCCGCAGCACCTCCCCCTTCATGGACCCCTCCCCCGGACCTCAGTGTCCTCCCCTTTAAAAGGGCTGCTGGCCAGGTGACTCTACCAGTGCTCCCCTTAATTTTTACATTGCTTTCTTTCTTTTTAATGGTGGGAGGGACTTCCCTGGAGGCCCAGGGGGTTAAGACTGTGCCTCCAATGCTGGGGGCACGGGTGCCATTCTTGGTTGGGGAACACATGCCACACAGTCAGAAATTAAACAAAATAAAAATAATTCAAAAAATTGTGCCAAAATACACATGACCTAAAATTTACCATCCTGACCATTTTAAAGTGTACAATTAAGAGGCATTTTGTATGTTCCTAATATTGTACACCCAGCACTGCTATCTGGTTCCAAAACATTTCCATCTCCCCAGATGGAAACCCCGTGCCCCTCTTCAGTCTCTCCCCTGACCCCCCCCCCCCCCNGGACGCGACTGAAGCGACAGCAGCAGCTCTGTCATATCCTCTCATTTGTTTTCCATATAGTACAGCTCCCAAACTGCAAATACTGATTGGCTTGTTTATTTAACAGTCAGTCTCGAAATTTATCTCCCCTACTTGACAGTAAGCTGTACCCCTCTGGTGTCCCTGGACCCCAGCACAGTGCCTGGCATTCTGAGAACACTAGATATATATATATATATTTAAGTCGTGTTTCTTTCTTGACCCTAGTCCCTTCCTTTGGGAGTCTCGCAGGCTTGCCTGAGTGCCAGTGAGTCTCAGATTTGTAACTTCAGGGCAGACTCTTCTGCAGAACCCACGTATGCAAATGCCTACTCAATATTCCCTCCAAAACTGCACCCTGGATATTCCCCGCACAAAGCCTTCTCTTTCTACAGCTCTCCCCATCTCAAATGGCAAACACCTGGAGTCGTTCTTTATTATTTTCTTTCATTTTTGGCTGTACCCTGAGGCATACAGGACCTTAGTTCCCTGACCAGGGGTTGAACCTGTGCCCCCTGCAGTGGAAGGCAGAGTCTTAACCACTGGACCACCAGAGAAGTCCCAACACCTGGAGTCATTCTTAACTTCCATCATTCACCACACCCCGCATCCAATTATTAGGGAATCCTCTGGGCTTTAGTCTCAACGTATGTAGAGTCTCCCTTTATATAAAGAAGAAAATGGGCCAAAAGCAAGCTATAGTGTTAATACAAGACGGTGGTTGGGGGCTGGGCAGCTCGGATGATCACCTTCTAACATGCCATACAATCCACTCCTATTGCTTATTACTTCTCTCCTGCTAAAATGTCAGCTCCACCAGGGCCAACCAAACTCTGTTGGATTTTTTTTTTTTTTGGCTCTGTTTTGTCAAATGCCTAGAACAATGCTTGACACACAGTATCTACTCAGTTAATACCTATCCCTGAGTGAATGAATCACCCGTTTGTTTCCTATTCAGCCACTCTCCCCTCCAGAAAAGATACAACTAATTTCCTTGTTTATTTATTATCTTACCCTCCCCACTAGACTAAGTCGCAGGAGGAAGACATCTCCCATCTTTATCCTTGGCCTGGAGCCAGTCATGAAGCATTTTAAAATCTTACTGCAATTCAAGCAGAGAGAAAGGGACCCTGGAGCGAGACTCAGGCCTATGGGGGAGGGCGCTCCTCCCCGCCACGGTCCAGGGGCTCTGGGTGCAGGGCTGTCACTGACCGGTGAAGGATGAGCAGCAGGTAGAGGAGGCCAATGGCAAAGGCGGCACATAGGTAGGTGATGGTCAGGTGTGGGCGGGGCGGGTAGAACCCGTAGAAGAGAGGAGACCATTCTAGAAAACCCTGCGGAAGGAAAGGCAGGACGAGGGGGCTCAGGGAGCGGGGCGACCAGGGTCGGGGGTCCCTGAGGGTCCCGGGACCCAGGCACGCACCTCTCCGGAGAGCAAGTTGAAGAGCTCGGTGGCGAAGGTGACCAGGCCGTGGGAGCCGGGATTGTAGGAGCCGCAGGGCGAGGAGGCGTTCGGGGCAGGGGGACCCGGGGGAGTCCCCTCCAACCAGGTGGGCAGCAGAACCATGCAGGCCGTCAGCACCGAGGCCAGCACGTTGAGAAGCAGCAGGAAGCGCAGCAACGAGAAGTAGGACTCGGTGCCGGCGCCAAACTGTCCTGCAGGGGGCAGCAGAGAGGCCGCGGGCTCCGCTCCCGGTCCGGTCCCGGCCCGCCTCCCTTGGACCCGGGGGTCCAGCCCCCAGACCCTCCTCCCTCAGACCCGGGGGTCCAGCCCCCACACCTCCCCCCTCAGACCCCGGAGTCCAGGCCCCAGCCCCTCTGGGCTCAGACCTTTGCTCCTCCGCCCCCCACCCCAGGTGGCCCGGCTGCTGAATGTGCCAGCTGTGCTGACTGAGCAGTACCCGCAGGGCCTGGGCCCCACGGTGCCCGAGCTGGGTGCTCAGGACCTGCAGCCCCACTCCAAGACCTGCCTCAGCATGGTGCCTGTGGTGCAGCAGGAGCTGGACGCTCGGCCCCAGCTGCGCTCTGTGCTCCTCTGTGGGTTAGAGACACAAGCCTGCATCTTGGTGAGACCCCCACTGATGCTTGGGACCTCCTTTCCACCTGGGACCGCCCCAACCTGAAAACCCAGAACCCTGGACGCTCCCCTTCCTGACCCGTGGCTCCCCTCCTGACCTGGGACCTTCACCTACACTCAGGACCCCCTGGGCTTTCATCCTGCCGAGGGTCCCGCTATAATCCCCACCCCTCCTGCCCCGATCCGCCCTCAGCCCCACCCTGGCCCCCGTCTCCTGGCTGGGGTGGGCTGACCTCTCTCTGCCCCCAGCAAACGGCCCTGGACCTCCTGGATCGTGGGCTGCAGGTGCACGTGGTGGTGGACGCCTGTACCTCGCGGAGGTGAGCGTCTTCTCAGGGGTGGGGTGCGTGTGGGTTGGGTTTGGGCCACCGAGGGAGAACCCGGGGGCGGATCCTTGCTGAGTTCACCGGGTGTTTGGGCGTGCAGACTGAGATGCCGACACCCTCTCCCTCACCCCCTCAGCCAGGTGGACCGGCTGGTGGCGCTGTCCCGGATGCGCCAGAGCGGCGCCTTCCTCTCCACCAGCGAGGGGCTCATTTTGCAGCTCGTGGGCGACGCCGCTCACCCTCAGTTCAAGGAGGTACTGCCCCCCCCCGACCTCCCCCTTCTCCCACGCAAACAGCAAATGCCTTTCCAGCTCCCACGGTACAGCGGCAGAATACATCCGGGAACATAGCGGCTGCCGCCCCCAGGGGAGACTGCAGGTCAACAGCATACATCCCAGAGCAGAGAGGCCGGCTGACCTAAGCGCTGTAGAGAGAAGGCAGGGGAGGGGCCGGGTGTGCCAGGACGGGCGCTGAGGGCGGCCCAGAGGCCTCCCAGAAGAGGGGGGTTTAGAGCGAGGTGGAGATGGAAGGGAGCCACAGGGACCCTGGCCCTTCCCCAGCATCCCTCCTCCTCCTCCAGTCTGTGACACTCAGGTCCAGCCTCCGCAGCCACCACTCACGTGGACTTCCCAGTGCCCAGATCTGACTGGGTAGCCCACGGCTTCACACCTTGGCCCTTAGAGTAATGGAATATGCCAATATCCCAGTCCTCTGAGGTCTGCCCCTTCTCCTCTTAGATCAGGTCTGTTGAGCATTTACTGAGCACCTACTGAGTGCCAGCCAGTGTGGCAGGTCCAGGGGCAATCGCAGAAAAAGACAATCTGTATTCAGTTTCACATGGTGGCCAGGAGCTGGGGAAGGAATCTGTGGGGTGTGTGAGATGAGATGGGGGCCTGCCGCACAGAGGCCCCTCCTGGGGGTGGCCTTAAAGTGAAGACCTGAACTGGGGGCAGTCAGCAACCGGTCATCCGAAAAGCAGTCTTGGCAGAGTGGACAGCTAGGTCAGAAGCCTGGACATGGGACTAAACTTGACTTATTCAAGGAACCACAGCAGGGCACGGCGAGCTCAGGGTGGAGGAGGGGCGGGAGGCAGGGAGGAGCCAGAGCAGAGCCTTCCTAAAGGTTTTGTCGGGGTTGCACCTGGGAGCTGGACACTGTCAGATCTGTGTGCCGTGCTGGGCGGCTCATGGACATGAGATAGGAAGGGGGGAAACGAGGGTGGAGGCAGCAGGATTACAGACCTGGCTCACTTTTATTTTGTAACTTCTGTAGGTTAGCATGAGAGGACTTGGTGGTGGGTGCAATGCGTGAAAAAGTAGCCCAGAGAGGCTCCAGGTTGAGCACGGCCGCTGAGGCTCTGCGCTGATGGGGGAGGGGGTGGAAGGTCAAATGACCACCAGCATCTAAGAAGCAGTTGCATAAGTGCCTCCAGAGTTGAGGCACAAGGCGTGGGCTGGACCTGAGAGTTGAGAGGGGAGATTACTTAAGAAGCAGGAAGCCCCAGGACAGTCAACCCGATAGCGGGCTGCTGGGCCTTTTCCAAGACCAGAACCCCCTCTTCCGCTGACCTCGCCACCCTGCGCTGAGCGGAGACACCCTCTACTCCTGTCCTCGGGACTCTGGCAGGCGCGCTTTCTCCCCCCGTCGCCGGCTCCCGAGAGTGGTGCAGTCCACCGGGAGAGCCGCCCCCTTGGGAGGGCGGTGGGTGCCGCCTTCCCATTGGGCCGCAGCTCCCGGAAATGCAAATAAGGCCCCCGGAGCCGGGCGAGGGTTGGTCGAGCCGGGCTGGAGGCGGGGCTCGGCCCCGGGCCACTCCAAGGGGCGGCGGGGGGGAGAGCGTCACAGGTTGTGTGGGACCCGCTCGCGGAAAATAAACACTGATGTGACTGTGGGCCGAACCATTCTTGTTCTGGGGGGTGTCCCGGGGGCGACCGGGGCCCGCGGGCGGCGGGGGAAGAGGGGTCCCCGGCAGGTGGGGAGGGGGTGGTGCCTCCGCTCAACTCCGAGCCGGCGGCGCGAGGCAAAGGCGAGGGCGGCCACTCACATCTGCACCGCAGCCGGCGCGCATCTGCCCGCAAAGGGACTGCCGGCCCGGGTCCCCGACACGCTGCCGGCGGCCCCCCAGGCAGCGCGCGCGCACACGCCCAGCCGGGTTGGCTCGCAGACACGCGCTCGCTCTGCCTCCCCCGGCCGGCCCCCCACGTCGCCGCCACCCCCCGACTCCCCCAGGGTCCCGCATCCGGAAAGTGAGGTGAGCGCGGCCGCACCCCGGTGCGGAGGGGGAAACTGAGGCAGGAGGGAGTTGGGGACGCGGAGGAAGGAAGAGACAGGCATGCGGATGAATGGATGGACGGATGGATGGGAAGGACAGATAGCTTCATCTGAGTGGTCCCTGCTCCCCTAAGACGCAGGAGCCCGGGGATCCGCATGGGGGCTCCCAGAATTCTACAGCCCCCTTGGAAATCTGGGAGTCGGGACTCAACGAGCCCCCCAGTCAGGGCCCCTCAGCCCTTTTAGATTCTCAGGCTCCCCCACCCCCACCCCGCAATCTTTGGGGGCCCAAGAAGGCAATCCGAGTCCCTCAGGGACCCAAGCGTCAGAGCTCTCAGCCAGACCGCCGCCACTGGGGAATCAGAGTATCTCCCCCCCGGCCCCCCGACCCTGGATCCCAGACCTCGCTCAGAAGGCCCGGTCACTGGACCCCGCGTCAGAGCGCCCAGGGCCCTCTCTCCACAGGGACCTAGGAGTCCCTTCTTCCCCCTCTTCCAGGAACCCCTGGGACTGGGCGCCAGCGCCCCTGGCCCCCGCCTTCCGGATCCAGGTGTCCCCCCTCCTCAGCCCCCAGGCTGAAGCCTCGCGTCTCGGAGGCCGCGCTCGCGTCGCCATGGCAACAGGAGTCTATTTTGCGCTGGGAACACACAGCTCCCGTCGCAGCGCGCCCCCACCCCGCCCCTCTAACCCGAGCCTGAGTGAGAGTGAGGGCCCGGGGAGGGAGATGGGTGGTCCGGGTCGGGGGCGCACAGAGACACTCACAGGGTCAGAGATCTGTAGACAGCAAACCTGGGAAAGAGACACACAGAGATGGAGACACGCAGTCGGAGGTAGAGAGAGACGGGGATGTGAAGAGAGACTGACAGGGCAGAGGGGAGGAGGGAATGCTGGCACGCGGAGGAGACGTGGGGCAGAGACGGCAGGATGCAGAGATGCGCTGAGACACGTGGAGAGAGCCGGGCTAAGAGAGCCCGTGACCCCGGGCACCTCCCCGCAGAAATGAGACTGGCCGGCGGGCCGAGGGAGGGGCAGTGGGGCGAGATCCCTGGAGGAGGTCAGGACCGGGAGACGCAGAGACTTCCAGAGACAGAGAGCGGATGGGAAGGCCTAGGCACCCGAGCGGGCCGCGGGGCGTGCGTGGGGACCGGCCGCGTCTTTCCCTCAAACCCCGGCCCCCGGGGGGCGAGCTGGAGGCGGGGCCGGGTCCCTCCACCCCGACGCCCCCGCCGGGAGCTGGGATCCCCGCCTCCCGCCCGGACCCCTGCGGCCGGGTCAGCCTCCTCTTGAACCCGGATCCCCCTCCTACTGCCTGCTCTTCACATCCCTACCCCAAACCCACCCTCGACTCCAGACATTCCTGGGAGGCTCGCCTGCCTTTCGCCTTCGGACCCCCGCATCCTCAGCGCCCACCTGCCCACCCCTCTTCACCTCCCAGCAGCCCGAGATCGGGTTTCTGACTTTCTCTGGGTCTCCTTCTGCAGGTCTGTCCTTCTCTGGCTCTCTCTTTCCTTCTCTGTCGCTCTCCTTCGATCCCCAGTTCCCCGGGTCTTTTCTCCCCATCACTGCTCACCCTCCAGGCCTGTGCCCTCCCAGGTCTCTGTCCTCTTTTCTTTGAATATTCTTTGAATATCTTCAGTTTCTTTGAAGGGAGAAGAATATCCCTCCTCTTCATCTCTGTTCTTCTCTTCCTGGGTCTCCGTCCCTCTCCCTGGGTCTCTGTCCCTCTCCCCCGAGGCTCCGTTTCTCTCCCTGAGTCTCTGTGTCTCTCTCTCTGGGTCTCCGTCTCCCTCTCTCCAACCCTCTGCCCTCACCCTCATCCTGTTCTCATTCTCTGCTCCCAGGCATCTCACGAGGCAGTCCTTGCCCCCCCAGCCCAGCTGACAGGGTCAGGAGAGGGGTGGGGTGGTGAGGTGTGGGACGCAGTGCTGGCAGGGCAGCAGGGGGAGGACGGGATTCTCCAGGAGCGCAGGGACCCTGTCTCACACTGGCTCCCCAAGCTCTGTGCCCACATCTGTTATCTCTCAGCTCCTGGACTAGGATCCTGGGTTCTGGCCCTGAGCTGCTGGCTGTGCCCAGGGCAGGGAGGGAGAAGACGGCTTGGGGGGAGGAGGAGAATCGTGCCTTCCTGTGTATTGTGTGTGTGTCCAGGAGAGGGTGCTGTCTGGGTGTGTCTGACGGAGGGTCACATGCCTGCTTCTAGACGCTCCACCGTGGGGTTTGCACTGGCATGTGTACCCACGAGGCTGCCTGTCTGGCTGGGATACAAGCGTCCATGGTCTACGGGCAGTGGGCAGCATGTCCAGGTGCAGCTGGCTGGGGCGGGTCTCTGGCCATGTCCTGGAGCTGTGTGTGGTCCCAGGGTGTCATGGTGTCTGAGACTGTGTCTGACTGTTGGGTGCTGTGGGCGGGAAGGCCATAGATGCAGGGCTGTGTGTCCACAGGGAGCTGTACTGCGTGTGTGTCGGGAGGAGGCTCGGGTGTGCTACCAGGATGATACTGAGTGTCCTTGCGTGTTGTGTCCAGGACACCACGTGGGTGCCCTGTGTTCTGTGTCACTGTGACACAAGCTCTGTTGTGTGTCCGTGCATAGTTCTGTGAGGAAGAGCCGGTCCCTTTGTGCATCTGGCCAAGTGTTGGCAGGGGTAGGTGCTGCAGGGCAAGAGGTGGGACGCAGGGGCGAGAGGCTCTGGGGCCCCGCTGACAGAGGGGCCGTGTGTGTGTGTGGCTGGGCCTCAGGGCGTGTATGCCCCCGCTCCTCCTGCCCCACTCCCTGGAGCTGTCAATGACCAGGAGTTGGAATTTCCCTGGGGATGCGCCTGTGTGTGAAGTTGGAGGGGACCACAGCACTCTGTCAGCAGAGGGAGAAATTCTGTGATGGAGCCCCACCAGAGGCTTGGCACAGCGCAGGCACTGAGCCTGCAAACTACTGGCCCATGTGGGGCAGCCCTTGGCCCTGTGCAGCTCCCCAGCACCTGTGATTTAGCAGGCAGATGGCACCCTTGTGTGTGTTTGGAAGGAGTGCCCCTTCCCACAGATGGATTCCTCCCCACCAGCGTGCCTTGGGAAGGAGAGCCAGTCTCTCTGCCAGACCCTCTTGTGCAGTGCACAACCTGCCCAACCTTACACGGCAGCCCTTGTGTGAATGAAGGAATCCACTTCGCCACGTGCATCTGTCACTCTCCGAAGGGCTATGTCTGCAAGCATGAAGGCCCACATTTCTGTGTGGAATAGAGGCATCCACGTTCTATGGGCGGCGGTGCCCTGAGTTCAAAATCTAGCTGTCACACCATCTGATGTATATCAATTGTTTTTTTTCTGTTTCTTAACTGTAGTAAAATATATGTAACACAAAATTTACCATTTTAAGTATACAGGTCAATAATATTTAATGATGTTGTGTGACTACCATCACTGTCTAGTTGCAGAACATTTTCATTACCCTCAAGGAAGGCCCTGCCCCCACTGAGCAGTCAGTTCCTCTTCCCAGCTGCCCTCTGCCCCAGGCAACCACTTATCAGCTTCCATCTGCATGGATGTGACTGTTGTGGACATTTCATATCAATGTAATCATCGATATCTGACTTTGTGTTTGGCTTTTCTCTCTTAATGTTCTCGATGTTCTTCAGGATGTAGACTGTATCCGTGCTCCATCCCTTTCGTGGCTGAGTATTATTCCACTGAATGGCTAGACCACATTTTGTTTACCATTTGTCAACTGATGGGCACTTGGGTGGTCTTCCGTCTGGGGCTGTCTGTCGTAAACCATGCTGCTAAGGACATCCATGTTTTCAACTCTTTGGGGCAGATTCCTAGGAGTAGAACTCCTGGGTCATGTCGTAATTCTGATTTTGTGTGTGTGTTCTGGGCCACGTCCTGCTGCATGCAGGATCTTAGTGCCCAGGCAGGGACAGAACCTGTGACTCCTGCGTTGGGAGCAGACTCTCAACCCGCAGCCCACCAGGGAAGTCCCCACATGTTTAACTCTGGAGGAGCTGCCCAAGTGCTCTCCAGAGTGTGGGCCACGGCACTTCTCAGATCACAGTGACACACCGGGTGGGGGCGTCCAGAAGGCAGTGAGCAGGGGGTGCAGGACAGGGGCCAGAGCAGAGCTCAGCGGGAAGGTTGAGGCCCCCCGGGGACGCGGGTGGCGCCTCAGCCTCCCACAGCCCTTTCCGCATCCCAGCCCCCAGCAGCCTTTGATAACACCATGGACCCGAGATACACGTGCACTCAATGGGGAGGAACAAAGGGTAAAAATAACAGCGAACAGACATCTATTAAACTAGTCCCACCCACCCAGCCTCACTCCCACCTCCTCACGCTGCTTTTATTTCCTCATGGCCTCCTTCGTAATTTCTTAGTGTTTCTTCATAATAGTTTTCAATGTGCATCCCATTAATACGTGTCTGTGTACTGGCCTTGTCTCTGTGCCAGAATGCAAGCCCCATAAAGACAGAGGCGGAACCCTGCAGTTCACCCACCACTGTACCCCCAGCCTCAGTACACACTGCTGCAGGAACCCACCTGCCGGCCTGTAGACACAGTAGGGCCGCCCCGTCCATCTGGCCCCTCTCATCCTGTGTCCCCTCCGGGGAGCACAGCATCTGCACTAGGCCAGGCGCTGCCCAAAGCCCTCTGACTGCATGCTCAGTCGCTCAGTCGTGTCCAGCTCTCTGCGACCCCACGGGCTGCAGCCCGCCAGGCTCCTCTGTCCATGGGATTCTCCAGGCAAGAATACTGGGTGGGTTGCCATGGATTCGTCCTTCCAACCACCCAATGACAGTCACCCTTACCCCCAGTTTACAGACGGGGAAACTGAGGCACGTGAGGACTTAGGTGTGTCCAGTGTCAGGCACCTGGCAGGTCTGGGAGAGGAACCACTGCTGCTCGGACTTGCCAGCTGTGCAAAGAGACACTTCAGAGCTGAACTTGTCAGACTCTGCGTGTGTGTGTGTGTGTGTGTGTGTGTGTGTGAGTGAGAGGGGTAAGGGTGGGGTGTGTGTGTGTGTGAGAGGGGTAAGGGTGGGGTGTGTGTGTGTGTGTGAG